GGTCCCCCCCGGGGCCGCCCTCGCCAGGGCCCTCACCCGCCCCGCAGGCACCGATCGGGCAGGGGTGACCACCGCCCGGGCACCGCACGAGAGACCAAAGCCGGGCCCTGGCCTAGGAGGCTCTGGCCCTTCTCCAGCCAGGCCAGGCCGCCGCGGGCCCTGCCCACGAGTCACAGCGACACCTGTCGCCAGCGTCACCGGTCACGCTCCGCACCCCGTGCGAGCCCCCGCTGCCCTGGCAGGGGCGTGGCAAGGTGAGGGGCCGCCAAGGCCGGCGGGGTGCGGCTGCATGGGGTCCCCAGTCACCCCTGCCGGGGAAGGAGAGGGGCCAGGTCACCATCCTCGTGGCCGGGACACTGCACCGAGGAAGAGGAGCCAGTTGCAGGGCAACAGCGGCCTTCGCGGAGCGGCATGCTGGGGGGGACACCAGCGCCAGTTTGGGGACACCCATCGCCAGTTCTTCAGGCGCCCCGCTGCGCCAGCAGCCCGGTCACTACCGGAGCCGTGTCCACGGGTGGCCACGGCCCCTCCCCTGGCGGCGCGCGCCACGTCTCCACTAGCCAGAAGGGGAAAGTCACTCTCGGGGTGAGTGGCCCGACGCCCGGCCGCCCGCGCTCACAGCGCTGGTCCAGGAGGCCGCACAGACAGTCAAGTGCTGCCCCGGCGGGAAGGCCCCGCGGAGCTTGGGGTCTCCTGGGCAGCTGAGTGGGTTAGGCTCTGCTGTTCCAGGGGAAACTGCCCCTGTACATCTCACCATGAGTCACTCGCCATCAGCATGGCAGAATCACACGATGTTAAAGCTGCAAGAAACTTCAGCTGGCACTGTGAGTTGAAGAGAGACATCTGGACTTTGCCCAGGCGGGTGCGGGCACCACGCAGGCGGCGACTGGGACAGCGGAGGAAGCGCCCCGGCCCCTTTCCGAGAGGGCGCTCGGCTCGGTCCCCTCGGAACTGCACCGCTTAGTGCGCCGCCACCAGGGGGCAGCAGTGCACTCGTCTGCCCAGCGCCCGCCCGGGGCCCTGCCCCAGTCCAGCTGCGCAGGATGCTCACCGTCAAGAAGCATGACGCCTGAAAACACCCCTCAGTAACTTTCTGACGAGCCAAACACTGGGGTCCAATGAAGATAACATTCTCCCGAATCCTTCATACTTTTTAATTTATCCCAGTCCTAACTGACGTAAAGGTCAGTGATGTTCGTTTTAAGCCAAGATGACCCACGGACGCATCCTATGTCTCTGCATTTTAAAGCAAATATTCGAGTGCTTGCTCGGGACACCAGCACCCCAACACCCACCCACCCCTGCCCCGCAATTTGTCCTGGGCCAGCCGTTGCTGGCTGTGCTCCTTCCTACGGCCCCTGGGTTATACAGGACGGTCAGTCACGAGTCTAAGGCTCCGGCAGCTCTCACAGAGATGCGAGCCCCAGGGTGAGGGCTGTCTGGAGGCCACCCTACCTCTCAGGTGGAATAACTTCCACTCTGATTTTAAAGGGCAATATTAGCAGCCGGAACTCAAGCCGCGGCAGCTACGGGGGCTTCAACTTGGAGACACCCCTCCCTCGGCGAGACCCGCCGCCCGACACTGTCAGGTTCATACAAGGCGAGGGAGGACGATGATGACACTGGCAGCGACATTCTGGCGAGGACCCTGGTGCCCCTGACACTCGAGGGGACCTCTCGAAAGCATCAAAGAGAGGCGCATGGTCTTTATTTCACCAACAAATTTCGATTCATTTTCTTCCTTGAGCTCAGCGGGCCTTCATAAGGAAAAGCTTTTACTACTGTCCCTCGGTCCATTTTTAAACCACAACCGTGTTCCTAGTTAAAAGCCATTCAGAGAAATCACTCTCTGCTTACATCCATTTGCTCTCCTGTAATTAACTCTTCACGATCTGTCTAATCTAGCATAAAACTGACGGCCAGAGCAATATGGCAGCATTGGTTGCTACCGGGAAGAGAGGACGGAGACATGAGCATGACGCCTGTCATGACCGGTCACCGCAAAGGCAGCCAGGCCCAGAGACCACCCTGCGAGCCTTCGCCAGGCAAGCCGGGCCAGCCGGTCAGATTCAAGGAGCCTCCTACCTATGCAATATCCTGGTTTTAACTTCTTTATAATTTTACCATATTTAAAAGTATAACCGTCAAAACCCCAGAAATACTTTTATCACAGCTAAGAACGAGAAATTGAGTAATACAAGAACTATCAAAAGCAGGTTTCTTAATAAATTTCAAAACACTGAAAAATAAAAATAAGGCACCTAGTAAGATGGCTCAAATTCTAAAAAGACAATCTCAAGGCAGTCTTTTAAAATCTCAAATTTTGAAGAGACAAACCGTGGCAGCCGGTGGGCTGAGGCCCTCGGCGGACAGTGGCCGGGCCTTGGGAAGCAAACTGTACTGAGCGTCCGTGCCCAGCCACTCGCTCCCCGAGAGCTGCCCAGACGGAGGGTCGCTGCTGCTCACAGAGACTCACACAAACGCTTAAAGCAACTGATTCATAATCGCCCAAAACTGTCAAGAACCCAAAGGCCTTCAGCAGCAGTGAACAGATGCAGAAGAGCGGCCTGCCCGTGAGCTGGGGACTACTCGGCAGAAGAGGACGGACCGGGAGTGGGCAGCGAAGCCGTCTCAAAGGCCACACACTAGTCACTCCATCTGCAACGTTCTGGAGAAGGCAGAGCTTATGGTCTGGAAACCAGACCCACGGGCCTGGGACGGGGCGTGGGACAGGGGAGGAGACGCAGTTTGGTTTGCTCTGATGAGAGCGGCCAGGCCCGCGCGGGGCATCACCCCTTTCTAAAACTGAGCATCATACATCAAAATGTCTCTTGCTAACTCAATACACATTCACATCACATAACGTGCAGGAGCTCTGGAATGCTGAGCTAAACGCAAGGTTAAGAGGAGAGGCGTTGACATCAGCCGGCCAACAAGGGGCAGAGCCAGGGCTGGGGGAGGGCCGGGCAGCAGCGGGCACCCTGGCCGCCACGCTCCCGCGCCCTTAGCAGCCCGCGGCCAGCGGGAGGACGGTGGCCGCGCTGTGCCTTCCCCCCGCAACACAAGGGCCTGTGATGGCCGAGACGCGGCGCCAGAGTCACCCAGGCCCGCCTCTTGGCTCTGGCTTTCACGGAGCAGGGCCCTCCCGGCGCCACACTGGACGCTGCCCGCACAGGCCTGCCTTGCTCTGTCCGAATCACACGTGTCAGCCGTCCCCGCGCGTCCACCTGGGGCCACACTTTCAGGGCCCCCCCTGCAGTGGGCAGGCCCTCGAAACACGCAAAAAGGAAACCAGAGGGGGAGATGGAGTTTTTGTCCCTCCACGTAAAATTCTACTTCTCCGGGGAGCACAAGTTCTGTTGACAGCAGAAAACGGAGGGCGGAGAGAGGAAAACAGTTGTAACAGCACACGCCAAGCTAACAGTACCGCCGTGCATGGGCATCACTAAGGAAGGAGCCAGGGGCGCGCTCTGCGGGAGGAGGGACACGGGGCGTCAGCTTCCCCCAAAGACCCAGCCCCAGAGAGGCCAGACCCACCCGCCCGTGTCCCCTGCGCTCCCAGGGAGGGGCGGCAGCACCTGACCCGGGCAGACAGCGCTCACCTTGACGGTCTTCAAGCAGGCGTGGCCTTGAGATGAGGCACACCGTGGACTGCGGACGGTCTGAGACTCTGGACTCCGGGTCCTTCCCACAGGGCACAGGACAAATGTCCACTTCTCAGGCCTGCGGGGTGCAAGGCGAAGAGGCGAGTGAAGAAAGCGGAGAGGTGAAGAGACGGAGATGGTATCCCGGGCCTCAGGTGGGGCCCAGCGAAGGGATTTCCACTCAGCAGGAAAGTGCCCACAGCTGAGGGCCCACAGCAGTGGTGGGTAGGGGGGCGGGGAGGGGAGGGGGGAGGTGCCCAGTCGCCACCTCCTTGAGAAACAGCAAGCACAGCCTCCCCTTCAAGTTAGGAAGAGAGGAGGAGGAGGAGAAGTGTATTTCAGCTGCCAGGCAAAGCCTACGTCCGGCAGACTCCGCTGAGGGCTCCGAGTCACGCATCCACCTTTTTAAAACCACAAGCCACGTCTGAAGTCTGCTTGCCAACTCCAGTGAACCTGAACCCAGTGACGTCTTGAGCTTTGCCTTCCAGTGTTGAGGGAGTGTAGGGGGCACGCGGCAGCAAGCTGGACGCAGATCCAAAGAGGGAGGTGGTCACTACGCTACGAGGGACACCAGCTAGTCCCTGGCACTCAAGTAACCCAAGGGGCTGCCCTAGGCCACCGGCCCCAAACTGCAGCCCCTGGAGGACACTCTGACCACACGCGCTTACTGTGCCACAGCCACAGGGTGAGCAGCTGCGGAGAGACCGAGAGGAAACAGCTGGCCCCTTGCACAGTGGGGGGTGCGGGATACTCCATCATGGCGGTGGGTGTGGGTAGTGGCGCATCACCAGAAAGGTGTGAGCCCGCACCCCTAAATCATACACAGTGTTCTCAGGCCCTCCCTGGTGGCGCAACGGGTTAAAGCACAGCACTGAGAAGCTAAAGCCACTTCTGCCTGAGTTCGATCCCCGCCTGCCCCGGAGGTGACCACATGGCGTGGCAGACCTCTCCTGACCCGCCCGCTGCTCCCCTCAGCAGTGTACTTCGTCGATCTGCCTGTTCTGCTCCCCACTCTGTCTCTGGTGAATCCTCTCACCGCCCCTGAGCCTCTGGCCTGTACCCCCATTCAGTATGTACAAATAAATCTTAATAAAAAAAATCATATACAGTGTTCTCAACCAACGTAATACTCAGTTAAAAATCAGCACAGCGGGGCCCGCCCTGGTGGCGCAGCGGGTTAAAGCGCAGCACTGTGGAGCTCGCCACAGCCGCTTGGTGTAAGTTCCATCCCCGGCCAGGGAGTGACCCACAGGGCGCGGCAGACCTCTCCTGACCCGGCCGCTGCTCCCCTCAGCAGAGTGCTGCGTGGATCTGCCTGTTCTGCTCCCCGCTCTGTCTCTGGGGGATCCGCCCTACACCTCTGGCCTGTACCCCAGTTCTGTGTGCATAAATAAATTAAAAAAAAAATCAGCACAGTGTTAAAAAAACAAAAGTCTGGTTCTTTCCAGTTTCAGCCCCAGACGAGGAGCGCAGACTCTCAGCACACTGTCCTCGGCGTCCTGTCTGGCTCTCAGCTCCCTGAGCCACAGGACGAGCCTGTCCACGGCCACCACGCCATCACTGGTGGGGGGGGTGGCGATGGAGACAGTCACAAGGACAATGTCCCCTTTCTGGAGGGGCCTCCGTGCTGTTTAGGGGTGAAGCATAATGGACAAAGCTGCTTCCACAGGAAGATGAGGCAGTGGGGCCCCGAGAAACCATTTGAAGGGGCCTTCTGCTCTGCGCCTCCAAGGAAGCTCATGACATACTCTTCCCTGCCTCTATGGTTTCTTTGATAAAAAGAAAAAAATCAGAACCTTGGTCAACCCCTTCCCCGCCTCTATGGGGCGCGGGCTCGGCACTGGCCGTTCCCATCTCTCTGGAGGCGGTTACGCATTCAGCTTCTGATCTTGTTCATGGTGTTCACCTGTGAAAGTTCTGATTCGCACTCAAGGTCAGCACGGGGGCAGCCTTGCCCAGAGGGGCCGGCCAGAGTGCATTCCTGGGCATTTACTCCCTAACACCTACATTTACCATGTCACCACCTCAGCAAGCCAGGCAACCTCCAGGGCGCTTCATCCAGAGAGAGATCCCCCAGAGGGCTCTCGGGGGTCCCCAGGCCAGGCCCCCCCTAAGCCAGAACCCGCTGTCCCTCTGAACAGTTTCACTGCTAAGAGATACCTTCAACCAAAGGTGCTAGGCGAGAGGCTGGGTGGTCAGGTTTTCACAACACATTCTCTCTTTTTAAAGATTTATTTGCTTATGCATATAAGAACTGGGGTACAGGCTAGAGGTGGGGAACAGTGGGGGGGGGGCGGGTTGAGAGGGTTCACCAGAGAGTGTGGAGCAGAATAGACAGACTGATGAAAGGAGCAGTGGGTGAGACCGGAGAGGTCACCTCCTTGGTCAGCACCCACCTCATGCTGCAGTGGCTGTGGCCAGCGTCACAGTGCTGCGCTTCAGCCCCTTGCGCCACCAGGGAGGAGGGCCCCACCAACACCCTCTTAATAAATCTCTTACAGTTAAGGTTTGCCCTAACTGCTGGATGGAGAATGTTCTGGAGATGTCCTCTCTGTCCCCTTTCCTTGGCACCTGCCTCTGCACACAGCTTCTGCCCCACCGCCCAGACCAGCCGCAGGGGCCAGCTAACTGGTAGTACAAAGTCTTTCAATGACTTCCTGGAAGAGCTGACTTGGTTGGAACCTTCTAGAGAGCTTCACCAGGGACAATAAAGAGAAAAATGAACGCTTGAACCACTTAAACAGTACCGATTTCCACCCCTTCAACTCCCTGCTGTCCAGAATCTCTGGTCACCACCAGTGAGACCCCTCTAGGACTAGAGCTACGTTGGCACCTCCGTTAGCAAGGTCAAATAGTCCAAAAGATTTCCATAGGGAAGCCCGCAATTACACATCAATCTGACTCTGGCAAGCCCAGCTTTGAAACAAAGGCTCTCCACCAGGGCAGCCTGCTTATTCAGGAGCCTCAGGCTTCTCCCGCGGTCCAGGCAAGCAAGGCATTTGGAAACAGGAGGGCAAACCGCAAGAGTTCTTGCGTCCAATAAACTCAACTCCAGGAGAACAGCCTCCCATTGTAGGGGAAAGTACAGCCGCGGGTGGGTGGCTTCCCTTCACACACTTCATCCCGCTGACTGGAGACCCCCACGTCTGACCCCGACACTCAGAAAATGAACAACCTTAAAAAAAAAAAAAAAAAACAGCTAGCCCACGGGGATTACAACCGAGACGGAAAAAGACTGAAATAGTTTATGTAAAAATAAACTATCATTAAATATGTAGATGGAAGAATAAGCAAGCACGCGAGAGGACACAGAAACAACAGGTGGGTCCGGCTGAAAGGCATGCAGAGAGAGCCTCACTGCAGTTCTTGCAACTTCATGTAATTTTCAAAATTACATCAAAATTAAAAGTCGCAAAACATTTTAGAGGCTCTGAAAAGTATTAAACTTTGAAAGGGGAAGAAAAACAAACCCAGCTCCAGATCCAGTGTATTTGCTCCGGGCGCAGTAAGTTGGCCAAGAGAGGTGTTAAAAAAACACCCCCCGCAGGATGTACCTGCAGAAGGTTCTGTGGGCGGCCCAGGTTACCTTGGGCCTACAGGGCGCCGAGCCAGAACACTGCGCAATCAGACAGACAGACAGACAGGCAGGCAGCGACGCCTCCCCCAGGCTCACCAACGGCTTCCAAGAAACCCACGTTCCTAAACGGGCAAACGCCAAGCAGGCTTGCTGACTGCCGTGCAGCCCTGGGTCCCCTAAAACCAGGCCTGCTTAAAGTGAAAAGCAGAATTCCCCACAAGTTAGCCGCTGCCGAGGGAGACCCCCGCCCCCCCGACCCCCCCA